TGGGGTATTCCAGGGAAGAGCTTTCATCAGGGAGCAAAGTCCAAAAAAAAAAAAAACCAACCCCCAAAACCCCAAATGAATGAACAAACAAACAAAAAAGCCCCAGAGGTGATATGAATGTGGAAATGTTCCTAGGGGATGAGGAATCAGTTCAACCGTGGAAGCCACCGAAAGCTGTTTAATTCAAAGTCATTATTCATTTACAGTGAAAGCTCACCCAGGGCCTGAATTTAAAGTTTATTACCCCACATATGGCAGCAGTACCAAGGAGTAAAGTTGTCCGATTTTGTTGCTGTTTGTAACCAGTGGATGTCTGAGTAACACCTTTGTTTTGTGAGGAAACAGAAAGATGCATTACAAGCCATAAAGCTTTACCTCCTTCCTGACTTCTAATTGCAGTTATACACTGCAGAAGGCATGGTCATCGGGAGCTAATTGATGTTCCTGGGGATTAGATGCTATTGACTGCCCCTTAAACCTTTGATAGTCTCCAGGTTGCAATTTTCTTGTAGTGTCTGCACCAGTTATTTGCATAATTGTTTAAGAGTATTAATCAAGAATTTACTACTGCTTGGGCTGTTTACTTGGTTAGGAGGTAGGATATTAGACTTAGATCAAACTAGTGGTAGGATTTTGCAGGCTGGGGTTTTGCCAGAAAAAAATAACTAAATCAGGATATTTGGGTGTGGTTTTTTTTTTCTTCTTCAGCATCATGTTGACATTGCATTCACAAAGCTATTTATTGGAAAATTATAAATATGCAAACTATTTATTGAAACAGTATAAATACAATCAGGCCATATTATAGAAAGCAGAAAGTATCCTTAGAGCTGGGTTTCTAGCTCTTCGTGACTTCTCTTTATGCTTGATTTAACTCTTCGCTGTCATCTAGTTGATACAAAGTCTGAAACAGATGACTCATTTAAATAACTTTACAAGGACATCATTTATCTGAGAAGAACTGGGATAAGATGATCTGTTTCCTTACGAATTCAGAAAAAGAATGTAAAAAGATATGAATAACAAAAATGTCCTTTTTCTCTATGACATTCATTGACCAAAAAAAAAGACATTCTCTGACATTGACTCAAAAAGAACTTTGTGTCTATCACCTATTTTTTGATAATATAATTTTACTGAAAGCCCTCAAAAAGGGGGAACAAGATCTTCTAAGCCTGAAAGGCATGGGTTGGCTAGCCCAACAAACTCACATTCCAGCACTGAATGAGTTTGGATTGCCTTTTGATGAGGAGAAAGTTTTCACGTAGTCAAAGCCTCAGCCTTAATGTCCTCTCTAAAGTACCTGGAAAATGTTGGTGTTTTGTTAACAATCAGCGTGTATCATGGTGGCTGACCAGTTCCTGTGGATCTTATTGCGAAGTGAGATTTCTTTCTTGCTTTTTAGAATCTCGACAGATGGAGTAGATATTGTTTTGGACTGTCTTTGTGGAGAAAATACTGGGAAAGGCCTCAGTCTTCTCAAACCACTTGGGACTTACATTTTATATGGTGAGTGGAAAAAGCCAGGTACATATTTCAAAACTAAAGCTTTTGCAAAGCTTAAAATCTCTTACAGTCACCCATGCCACTCCTTCCAGAACTTGAGGCCGCCATTTATACTTTCTCAATTTGACCATCAAGGATTATAGTGAAGCTGAGCATGGGCTAAATTATTGAGAAACAATATGTAATCAAAGAAACTCTTTAAAAAAAAAAAAAAATTCAAAAGTGAAACTGAACATGTGTTTCAAATTGTTCAATATTATTGGGTGATACAGGAGAAGTGTAAGAGAAAGCTTGGATCTCTCGTTCTACACACCATAGGAATCACAGCGTGGCCAAGGAAACTGTAATATAGTTCTTGTGGGAGGGAAGCTTGGAGGAAGATTTCAGGAAGAATGCTATCGTTTTTATTTGACATGACTTTGAGGAATTCAAGCCCAGGCTTCTGTTCACAAATTTCCATTCATGTACACAGACTGCTCCACATACCGGGTAAACATGTCTTTCCTACAGTTCTGCCAGGTTGCCATGTTGTGTGTTGATAAAGCAAGCCAAGCTTCTGTAGGAGGATAGCTGAAGGGATTGCTAAACTTTGGAAATTAAGAGTATATCTGTATCGCAGTGGAAGGTGCAGTGGCATCATGGATAAGCATACCTGCTTCCTTGGGCTTTCATGTAGCTAGCAGGGTGGCAATAACGAACGCATTGTCACTTGGGTATCTGTTTGGACTGTACAAGCCAACCTGGTTGCCTGTTTGTAATGAGGTCCCTGCCAGTGAATCGTCATTATGTTTGTTAACAGGTTGTAGTGTACAATGCGTGTATGTTCACACATGTAGTGGTCAGAAAAATGTATCTTTACAGATACAGAGAAAGGACACCTGTGTGGTGATCGCTGCTAAATAATAAAGTGTCAGAGACAAATGGCACTTTACTGCAGAGAAGGAGAGAGCTATAGAAGAGTTTTGGTGTCAAGATGCCTAGTAGCACTTAACCTGTTTGTGGTTTTGGAAGATTTGATAGATTGTTTTTGTCATCTCAGTAGGGCTTAGTCACCTTGGCCTCTGTTATTTATTCCCAAAGTATAAGGATGTCTACTAATCCCTTTTAAACCTGGGGAAATTTTTTTTTCTTAAATATGAATAATGGAAATTATTTTACATATAATAAATAGTCTGCTTGTTAGCATGTAATAAGTTCTGTGTGAATGTACTGATCTTTTACAGGTTCATCTAACATGGTTACTGGGGAGACAAAAAGCTTCTTCAGTTTTGCAAAATCAGTAAGTGTCCCAGTGCTGTGATTCTAACTTTCCCAGTGCTCTTTCCTCTAACTTCAGTCTTTTCTGTAGCATTTTCGTCTTTATCATTCTCATTTATCTCTGCTAAGTTGTTACTTCTGATGTTGCTAAAGAGAGTGTTTTTCTGACTGCAGTGTGGTCTGACATGTTTTCGTCTGATACCACAGCTAGACAGGAATAGGATCTGTGTGCAATGCATGTTTAAATTGTTAGCTATCAGATGTATATCTCTTATACAGCTAAGTTTAAAGTTAGACTGCATTATTTATTTACTTATGGCAGAATATCATATCCATGGATATGGATGACTGTACCCTGTAGGTTCCTCATATCTGAAAACACTGTCGGGACAGCGCAGTGAGTTAAAGGAGATACTAAAGGAGGTATATCTCTTAAGATGGGTCTTGTGTCCAGCCAATTCCAGCTTTTCAGAAGTTATTTCCATACATAATGCATTTTTGAGTTCTCCATGTTCATTTCAACTGACATCAAAGAGATGACGATGTTGCATTTGTTTCCTAATTGATGATGTCAACAAATCCAAAATTCAAATGTTAGATTTTTTTTTCTTCAGCTTACTACAATAACAAAAATCTGCTCAGAAATCCTAGAGATTGAAAAAAGGACAAATATTTCAAATAAACTGCCAGTGAGAAATAAGTTAACCAGGAGTGAAAGTGATTCCTTCAGACAAGAAAAACAGAGGGAGAAGTCTTGACTGAAGATCTGTCATATAATCTTTCTGCCAAGAGCTCATTTACAGCTTCCAGCAACAACCCCTTCTCAGGAGAAATTAGCTTTAAAAGTCTCTGTAGTTGAAAACAAGATAAATCAAGAACTGTAGCAAGGAGCTATTCTTTGCCTCCTACATTTTCATAATGGTTGTAGTGGCACGTTCTTTGTTATTGTCATGCGTTTGTGAACTAAAACAAGATAATCTTTACTATGCAGCCTTTTTACTGTTAATATAAACATATCCAGATGGGTATGATTTGTAGGGTAGGTTGGCCCAATGAAATCAGTTTCAACTGAAATGTTTTTCAGATAGTACTGGTATTTATTGACTGAATAAATATGAATAAATTGAATTAATAAAAAAAAAGCATATCAGATTTTCTGTAAAAGTATAACTAGTTTCTTTATGTAATTATACTGCAAAATTAACTCATCAAAATTGTATGAAAACTTTAATTTAGAATTGTCCCATTCAAATAAAACTTGCTAGGAAGTGGGATCTCAGTCTCAAGAATGCTCTTGGGCTAAATGAGACAAAATAATTTCATTAGATTTTATGAGGCTTGCTCAAATATCACAAACATAATAATGGGTGAAAAGTAAATGGAAGCTCATAAGCAGCGCGTGGTTTACTTGTTTTTGAGAGAAAAGTAATAGTCAAGAGTGCTTGCGAACATTTGGGAAGATTGCATGGCTCTCTTGAGATAACAAAGGAGGATAGTAGAAGTAAGAAGGGAGGTCCAAATTCCTCACTTCTAGACCCATGTCCTAAAATCGGATCTGTTCATCATTCTTCTAGCACCCTAATCTTGTGCAACACAAGTCTGTGTTTTATTTCTGCGTATCAGTCAGCTGCATACTTTCTTGCCTCTTCCTTAAATAAAATCCTTACTGCTTCTCTTGGCTGTTGCTTCAGATCTGACAGATGAGTCTTGTAACACATCTGCACAGGCAGTTTTCTTGTGAACTTTCCTGTACATTTCTTGAAAAATGTTTTTCTAACCCTGCTGTTGTTTATTGCTTTCCAGTGGTGGCAGGTTGAGAAAGTAAATCCTATCAAGCTGTATGAGGAGAACAAAGTCATTGCTGGATTTTCCCTGTTGAATCTACTTTTCAAACAGAATCGAGGTGGCCTGATCAAGGGTGTGATGGACAAACTCCTAAATCTGTACAACAGTAAGAAGATCAAGCCTATGGTTGATTCATTATGGGCTTTGGAAGAGGTAGGAGCAAAATTTTTCCCCGTTTTGAAATTTCTGAAATACAAGCACTTTTAGATGTAAAATTAGATTTAGATATGTTTTCTAGTTATTAATGTATTCTGCTTTCTAGTTTGTGCACAAGTTGTCTCCAAAGCCCCTGCTAGAAACTCCATGATCCAGAGTTATCCACACATTTCTCTATAAATATTTCTGGAGTTTCAAATACTCTGTGGAAAGTTCTTGAAAATACTACTAATAAATGTGGTTTTTTCAATCTTAGAAAACTGTTTCTGTTTCCTAAGTGCATGAAACATGACTAACAAGTGTGGCATGAAATGCAGACATTATAATTGAAAACAATTTAAAATCTATTCTGAGGAAATATATAAGCTTTAGTTTCAGTGTTATATTTGTACTAGCAAACCTTGAAAGCTTGGAGGTTTTCAGGAAGTTACTGAAAATGTATCTCAGGCAGTCAAATCAGAAATCACTTTTAATGTAAGTTACGTTTGTGGAGTGTGGGTTTTTTGGTTCTTTTCTCCCTTCTAATTGCTCAGCTCTCCTTAAAGATATGTAAAGAAACTAATCTGATAATAGCCTGGGCAATTATAAGCCCCTTGACCAAAGCATTGTTTCTGAGACCTTTATACTTAAGGTGCTGATCAGTGAATGTATTTTTTGGAGGTGTGAACATACAAACATACAAAGAAACAGCTTGATGATAGTAGTGCCGCCAGGTTAATATTTGTGTGTTATGTGTTTGTGAAGCAAACTGAGCCTGACACATCACTTAAGATGCGTGATCTGTATGAGCTCTGCTGAATGTGGATTGTGGTTGCATCATTGTATGGTTGCTATTCAGAAGGTGCTGCGACAAAATTCTGTCTGTGTCTGAACACATTAGCCAGTATTACCATGCATCCATGAGGAAATAGTAACCATCAGACTTAATACATTAATAATATTGTATTTTATTAAGATTTTGCACACCCTATGGGCAGGGTTTTCAGCCCAGCATGTTGTTCAGTATTCAAGTGACATTATAGCACCACTATCGTCATGGACACAGGTTAAGATATCTTGAGTTGTGTGGCGGGACTCCACAGCCTATGACAGTTCTTGGAGTAGGATGCATTGTATGTTCACTGGGGCTTGCACGTGCCTGGGCCAGGTTATATGTCAAGGCGTGTACTGCTTTAGGTTGTGCTAATGTGGAAACTATGTCTCTTCGTGCTATCACTACATCTGCCCCAGTGTACCCCAACGTGCCACTTTATGTGGTAGAGCAGATGCAAATGGTCCAGCACGGTGTGGGCTCCGCTTGTTCCTCTCCAGCAGAACAGAGAGGAATGACAACTTCCCCAGGAATCTCTTCCTGTTTCTCCAAAATGTCTGCCTAAGGTCACACTGTCACTGATAGCAACTCAGTAACACCTGGGTTTTACCAGCCAGTGGCATGGGGGTGGCTAATTCTCACCATCGAACTGCTTAAGGGAAATCAGATGTTGTGATAAAGAGCAGCTGGCTCAGGCAAGACAAAATCCTCTGCTATTGTCTGAAAGCCCTTTGAAGAGCAGTGTAAAATAGAAATGGGATCAGATTTAGGTTTTTGATGTGGTTTTTTTTAATTATTTAGTTATTAAATAAGCTTACAAAGTATTTTAAAAATGTAAGTGGCACAAGTCTCTAGATAGGCATTGTGCAATTTCTTTGTTCATGTAAATATGTACTTTTCATGTATTGGTGAGTAAGAAAAAGATAACTTAAATAGTAACAATAGCTTGAAAAAAAATCCTGATTGAGGGTGTAACATGAAAAATTACACATGGCAGGCTGATCTTAATAGTCAACATGATGGGAATTTGTTGGGAGACTTCTGTTTGATAACATTTCATCTAACATTTGGCAGTAACAAGCACCATCCCTACTGGTAGATTGTGAAATGTGTAAATAAATCTGTTAAAACTACAGTCTAGAAAACTACAGCTAATTTATCACACCTGCTCACTTTCCATGAGCTATCTGGTAATTTACACAGGAAATGTCTGGCTAGTATTGTCAGGGATATAACAGTGCTAGAGGTGTCCTTAGTCGATTGCAAAGTATTGCTGAAATATTACTCATTCAGGGCATTATCATTTTGGAGATATATTTTTGTGGGTATAAAAATAACTTAGGGCTGACTCTGAAGTTAATATGATACACAGAAAAATGTGTCATAGCTGAGGACTAAATGGAACGAGACTGAAGGAAGGTTGGTATGTATTTTTGTTCTGTTTCGGGAGGTTTCTTTTTTTAACCCCATAGCTCTAACACTCCCCCTTTCAGAGTTTGACATTTGATTGCTTTTCAATTCCTGTTGAGTAAGCCTGGTTTTCTCCAAATGTCCACTTTTATTTGACCATTCTCAGTAGTCTTCATTAGAGACTAAACCAATATGACCAATTTTTACCATTGATGTTTCCTGAGGAAATTTCCTGACCCATAAGAGCATTGAGAATAAATATGTTTAACTAGAGAGTGGCAGAAAGGTGGACTCCTGCATGACATTTGAAAATGAATGGCTGAGTAGTTTTCTATGGAAGAATATCACGGTCTCCAGAGGCTCACGGGAGAATCCATTTGTCCTCTGACTAGTAATTCTGCCATAGAGATGAGCTTGAATCCAGTAAGTGACATTCAAAATGAAAATATTTTAAGGAAAAATCTCAGAGGAGCCTTAACCATGGGACACCTTTCCAAATGTTTAATGTTAAATACCTGAATGTATCATGGCATACATAAAAGTTTTGATCTATACATGAAAGGCATATCCCCAACATATCCCTTCAGCTTGCTTTATTCACTCTGCATCTGCATTTGTTTCCATGTATTCCTTCTGTGTGCAAATACCAATTCACAAATTAATGCAGATTCTCTAAAGCCAACATGGAAGACACCTGGTTTTTTTCCAAAACTGTATTACAGTACAAATACTTATCTTTTCAATCCTGTATCCGTTGCAATAGCCATCTATGTATCAGAGCTGAAAAACATCTTTGCAGTCTTGGAAGACAATGAGTCGTATCTACAGTGATGTTCCCCTTTGCTGCTTAAGGCTGGGTGCTACAGGACCACTTCCTTGCATGATAACCCCAAAATTTAGGGCTTAATGTTGTAGTGCTTGTGAGAACAGCCAGAGAAAGGTTTTGTGTCTGTTTTTAATAGGTCTCTGTGAACCGTGTAAAAAAAAAAAAAAAAAAAAATAAAAAAAAAAAAATTTTTCATTGTTCTAAAAGCCCGGTATGGTTCCTTGAGCAGCATTTATTTCTTAATACTTTCTGCAGAAGTACACAGTTTGAATTTAAAAGAATATACTGATTAGAGAATATTGTAATTGCAGCGAGATTTTGCATTTTAAAGTGTTTCAAGTGGCAGTAATACAGGGTTTAAAGTTGTTGGATTCCTACTTGTCTATCACATAGTATATGTTAAGTGATGTCTAGTTGATTGTCGAATAATATTCAAGATAGCAGTGTTCAGAAATTATTATGCAGACTTAGCTTGATACTATTCCTGTTGAACAATGAAGGTTTGTCTGAGTGTCAATGAGATCATTCTAATTAGGATATAATCCCTTCCGGTGTTCTGATTTCTCTCTTTTAGGGCCTCATCCAAAGGCTGTGGAAGGACTCCTAGTTTCACTGGCCTTTGTTTTAGGATGAGGATTGCCCTGCCTCTTCAGTACAGGCTGCTTAAATGAATTTACCAATTGACTGAAGAGAGAGTGGGACAGAATTTATTCTGGATGGAAACTTAGAAGTGACTTAATTTTCTTCAGTGCATCAGATTATTGCTGACATAAGGGAGATCAGGATCTAGACTATTGACTACTGCTATGGAGCAAAACTATTTGTATTGCTGTGTTATTGGTGTTGGCTTGGGAAGGGCAACTTTTATCTCAAATTTACATCCATAAATCCTAGTAAAGTCAAGTCTCTTCTCAAGTGGGCCATTAGAGCCGTTTTATGATATTAATGTAAGAAAGAGTTAACTAAGAGAGACAGTAACAAAATCCATAGATACTTTAAAATGGAAATCTAACTGGGGAATTATTCATCATGAGATGAGTGGAGTCATACGATAAATTAGCTGCTGTTGAGATGTCTCGCTATTTTGCAGCTATTTGTTTATGCGTTTAAGTGTTTAAAAGATGAGATAATTTGTAGATGGTGCATGCTTAAAATACTGTTCTGTAGTAAAAAGCTGATTGGTAAGATTGCGTTTCATTACAAATAGTAGAGTTTAAAACAAAATTGGTATTCAGTGAATATTTGTTGAGCTTTGTGGTTGTTTCTTTCTTAGTAACTACTTATCTAATCCTTAATTTGCAGTTAGTCACTCTCCTTCATTCTGATTAATTTGTAGTGTGCATTTATGCATTAGCATTCTTCTTGAGGGTCTGTGAATCTTTGGCTTTACATAGTAGATGATTCTAGATTATTAAGCAGGAGGAAAACTGAAGGGTCTCAAAAAATCTAGTGTGTTGAATAAAAATGTACATGTTGCACTTTTCTATTAAAATTCTGTTTTCTTCAGCTTCTTATAATTGCAAAAGAAAATATATACTCAAGGTAGAATGGGTTATCGACATGGAAGTTATATGCACCTTCTTTGGAGATTTACAGCAGTTGAAAGTAACACTGATAGCATGTAAAACAAAACTCAGAAATTCTTGCACATGAAGTGCCAGTCAGGAAAGCAACAGTGCAAAATATGGTCCATTTCATCAAAATATCTGTAGACCCCTTTCCCTCACACCAGACTACCTGTTTCAGAAAGGACCCTCAGTATGTTAGAAAGTTTTCAGACTTGGGCTATTTTGGTCCGTGTGGGTAACCAGTGAGATTATGGAAAAACATCCTGACTACAGATCTGTGTTGTGTACCAGAGGATTCATTGCATTCTTGTCTCTCAAATGATTTAAGGAGTACACTGTTACATAGTAATAATGGTATCAAAGACCTGTACTGCCTTAGGGC